AAACCTGTATATTAATCTAACCATGCTAGCATTCTAGGGTTGAAGAAGACATGAACGAGAAAGGAATCATAAAAGACCTGGCAATAATTGGAGGAGGGCTAAACGTGTGAAGGATGGCAACTCCTGCTAAAGGGAAAAGCTGAAGAAGTAGTAGTTTGTTTATGAATACTTGGCTGATTATTCAAAATATTAATTTTATTCAAATTATTTGAATATTCGAATACTCAGTCTCAACCCTAGTTGGTAACACACCTGACAATGTTAGTACTATATGTACAGTAAATTACATAAATAAAGCCATTCAACCTTGTCGAAAAAAGTGATTTTTGTGTAATGTCTAACTTATTTTTGCTGCCCATTCATTTAAAGGTACCAGTAAGCCATTCTGACACATTCCACCAGAAAAGAGCACTGTATACATGTATGTATGTGTATATATTATAATCTTAGCTCATGATGCTAGAAAAACACTTATGTTCAAAAATCATAAGACAAAAGTACAAAACTTTATAACCCAAGTACTTTTAAAAGGTGGACTTTCTTCATCAGGAACAAAGTAGTAACTTTTATTTCCTCCTTAAACATTTTAATCATATTTTTGTTGTTAGATACAACTTTATAAATGCTAATGTTCTTTAAATAAGCATGAATGTAGCAAAAAATATCATGACTGTGTTACAATTAAAACTTCACCTTATTGCAAACAATATCAAATGTGAAATTTACCTTTTGAAACATTTTCACTGGGCTCCTACCATTTTGTTTTTATTTTTATAAATCATTTTGTAGCTATACTCTGGGAAACTTGTTTTCATAGAAAAATCACTTTAGATGTTTGGTTATTCATGTATTAATGGTTCACATGTCTCTCAGTTTCATGTATCTTAGTTTAATGGTGATCAATAAAGATACTATTAAGTCTGAAATATTTTATCTGAGTAGGCAGAACTTGTTCAACTGAATTGAGTATGTTGGAAATATACTTAGTTTTTTCAAGTTGGTATATTATGCATAGAGTTGTTTTTTATGAATAGCTTTAAAAAGTGGGTGTGTGTAATATACTTTGTGTGATTACCTATTACATACCTTTTTCCAAACTTTCCTGTCAACCATTTCCAGGGTGTTAAACGCTCCGTCACTAGGCTGCATGGGGCCGCATTAGGTACTGCAGAAATCATCGTTTTTAAGGTTAGTTACAGGAACAACTTCATTTTTCCAGTCAGTGTTAGAAAACATGGTTATGATTCTGTTGGATAAGCCTCATGTTTACTGTCATCCTTTTGGCAACCCTGCTTGATACATCTGTTACATTGTATTTATTTATGAATGGCATGAATAACACTGATGACCTTTGTGATCTAATGTTCTTTTGTTTGTTGTGATTCATTTCTTTGTTTTACTATTGCAACATTTTGTTCCAAAACACCACTAACCTTGTTTCATATAGCAATTGATTTATAACTCTTAGGATAACTGGGCTACCATAATATCTCTTATTAAACAGACACATTTGTTACATTGCAAATGGTTATCAAACTTGCCCCTGGTAATTTCTAACAAACATAGTTTGTGACAGATAAACCTTCTTTTAGGAAATGGAAGGAAATAAAAAAAAAGAAAATGAGATAATATATAACATCAGCTCAGAGAACTGAGTAAGAGTGAATTGAGATGGAAACCAAAATTTTGTTTATTATTTTTTTCATACACTACCAGGTTAGTGGTATGAATGAGGGTGAGAGTCCAGAAGGGAGAGAATCAAATCAGACTTTTTTTCCCATTATTTTAAATGCATGATATATATGAACCCTTACTTTAGTTGTGCATCCATGCATGGACACGTTGAAATCATTTTTGTTTTAGTTTGAGTAACTTTGTGTTGTGGTATTTGTGTTACTTTATGTTTGTGATGTCTGTTGTTGCAGACCCTAGAAAAATATGGAGTTAATGCCAGTATTGAAAAACTTATCATGCTAAAAGTAAGTAGAACCAATCTCTTCCTGTCGTTAGTTTAACTATAATTTCTGTTTAAGTGAAATATATTACATAGGTTACATAGATTTTTTTTATCTCTTATTACTTTAAGTCAATTTGTTTAATTTGTATTTCTTCTGTAATGTAAATGGTGCTATACAAAGTTAAGCTTCATTAAAGTAACATTACCTGTTGAAAATCTTTTATATTTTGGATATTGTACTTTAGATATGCAATTAAAATTTATCACGTCTTTGTCATAATAATTATTTTATTTCATTAAGGTGTGTTAAAGATTAACAAGTTATTTTGGTGGATTAAGGATTTCTTTTTATAAAGTCTAATATTAGTTAGACTGATTAAAAACTATAATTTATGGAAAATGTCACAGTTTTTTTCATTCTGCAGATGTAAGTAAAAATCAGTTTGAAATTAAGGGTAGTTCTGAGGTTGTTGGCATTTAAATGTATAGTTTCACTATTTGAATAAACTGTGTCATGTGAATGAAGTTTAAGTAACAGCAGCCAACCAACTTAGAAGGGAGCAATCAATGTGTTTATCTATTTCTGGAATTTTAGGGAGACCAGGGAGATCCTGGACCTCCTGGTCCACCAGGTCCTCAAGGTGCTACAGGTCTTCCAGGTTATGATGGCCGAAGCGGACTCCCAGGAGAACCAGTAAGTTGAGGTTTTTCTCTATTCTTACCAAACAATCATGTAGAAAATATATTATTAATCTGTACAGAAATATTGCTGAATTAAATGCTCTTTGTTCAGTTATACAGTATAGGAAGAAAGAAGACCTACTCAGAAATATCATAGTTTTATCTTAGAGAATACCAATATCTTGTCTTTATATTATTAATTCTCCAATTTTGTAAAGATATAGGCAGGTTTACAGATAAACACCTTCATAGAAGTTTATAACTGCTTCCATAATATTGTTTGGTAACATAGATAGTAAAGGGTTACTAAAAACGACAATTAAAACAGTGATTCAGAGATAAAAGTTGATTTGTTAAAGTAGATTTAGACGATTTGTTTGGTTACTTTGCACATAAATGCCACACAATTTCATCAAAAGTCTACAATATATTTTCTAGTTGCAGTTAGTTTTATGAATCAAACTTACTACAAGGGTTGAGTCATATTTTTTATTTTTTCTGAATGATATTTAAAAGTTTTATTCATTATCTAAACATTTAAGATCCTAAGATGGGTGATGAAATTTATCTTTTCAGGGACCACGAGGTGAACCTGGACCAGAAGGACCTCTAGGGCCAGAGGTTAGTTAGGAAAGAATTTTATGATAATCAGTATTTGTCAGAAGTAATGTTAAAAATTGTATCAATTACTGTAATAAATACATACTTAAGTAGCACTGCCTTTCAGGTGTAACAGAATATATATTTTCTGACATGATACCTTACCTCCATTCACATAATAGCTTTTCTTGATTAATTCTACTTTCTATATGTTCAATTTTTTCTGCTCACCACTAGCCTCGATACTCCAACCTACCCCAAAGTGTTAACGTGGTACAGTTACGCTCTAACATGCAAAAGTACGTGACAACCCTCCACCAATAGGTGCACAACACCCTCATCTGACACAGCTATCTCCCCCCTGGATTACAGAGTCTAACCTCATTTCTCAATTTGGCACTCAAGTGGTTAGACATCTTGCTCACCATGCTTTGAGTTTTTATATTTTGTTACTTAATGAGTGGTTTTTGATCATTTTTATTTTTTCAAAACTGGGGTATCATTAATAAAATTTGTAATGCATTATAATTTTGTTTTATCAAATCTTTATAACATAAAGATAAAATATTACATGAATGCAATTACCATCTTTAAAGTCTGAATTGTTTTTTTCACATGATATTTAAGTTTTTTGAAACTTGTAGACTTGATTTTGATATCCCTTCCCTGAAGATAATATACTTTGGTATCATTGGTTCCTGTACTACATGTTTCTTATAACAAGAGAGAAGGTCATCACATATATTCTGTCACATATTAGTTATTTTAAGTTATAACAAATAATCATAAAGTATAGTTGTGGTTACTTGTAGGCTTTTTGATTAAGCATTTGTTATGTGTATTTTAGGGACCTATGGGGAAGACTGGATTGCCTGGGCCTAAGGTAAACAATTATGTCTATCTTGTTTAATATATATACTAGAAGATTTTATATAAGGATGTTAGTTTTATTGCCTAAAAATCCCATATTTTTTCCTTAAAGTAACATTTTCATGATTCATCTAAAACCATATTGTGAATCCGCAATGTATAACATGTTAATACTACAAATGAAATCATGTGGAAAAACCCATGCATTTGTGGTATTTTTGGGTAAAACTGATTTTTCTTAGAGTGACAAGATAGGTCTATAGAATAATACGAAATTCAACAAGATATATATTACAAAACAATTCTGAGGTTTTTGAGTAACTGGGATCATGAAAAGGGAATCAGGAGACTGAACACAATTGTATGAAAATACAATGAATCATCTTTTTGTCCATTTACACAAATACAGTGTGTGTATACTTGTTTCTGGACATTGGACAGAGCATCAATATCGATTCCTACATGTTGGCCCCTGCCATCATAGTTTTTAAGGTTAAAGTCACCTGAATGAACATTCAAAACATTTCCATAAACTTCTTTGATATTCTTTGTGGCTACAGAGGCATTGTTTCTTTTTTTGTATTCAAACAGCATTACATGCCGATTGTGTGTCTCATCATGCGCCATCACTATAGAGGATTAGAGTATACTAAACTTTACACATTATACAGGCTACACTAACGTGACATTTAGGCGGTTCATTTAAGTATTATACTTAATGTATGTTATTTGGGGGGGGGGTAATGAAAGTGTTCCAAAATACAATATTAATTTCTGACGACCTAATAGTTTGTAGAAAATTCTAGGCCTCAGTGAAGAACATATAAATATAAGTGACCAAGCAAAAGCAAGGAAAGTAGAGAAAAAGTAAGTAAGGCTCAGTCAGAGAAAAGTTAGAAAACGTGAAGTTAGTTGGCATGTGAGTGATTAGCTGTAATGGTTGATATTTTAAAGTGAATTTCACAGTTTGACAGAGATAAGGAGAATAATTTGTCTTGTCAAACGATGTTCTAAAATAAGTGACCCCGTCTGTGTGGACTTTGACGAAATGGAGACAATTATTTAGAGTTCGAGATACAACTGTGGTAACCCATGATGTAAGTGAACCTATTGCAGATTGTACAGTAAGAAACAAAGTAGAAAAAAATAGTTTGTCTTGTTAGTTGAATTCTAAAGTAATTGAATCAGCCTGAGTGGACCTTTGACAACAAAAGAGAATTATTTAGTTTTAAATAGAACTGTGATATCCTATAGTGTAAAGCATTTTTTGTACATACATTTGACTGGTTTTGAATATATAATTTTAAAACAAGTGGATTGTGTGCTGTCCATTTATTGTTCAAATTTATCACCAATGACTCACAGACACCTACTGTAGAAGAATCCTAGCTCACTCATATTTAAACCTCTGACAGAAATGTCAACTGTTCATCAAATAAGTGAAAGATACAAATACCCTTCAGAGTATTTCTTAAAACTTTTATAATTATACACAGTTTATTTAGTAGTGGAGCTTCCAAATTGAAAATATATTAGGTATCCCATTGATCTAACAATCTTTTAATAGTCTTTCCATTTCCAAATATGTGATATGACTCATAATAGACTGCTAATCTCTAATTTGTACTTATAAGTTCATACTTACCATCACAAAACCCATTTAAAAATTACTACCACATATATTTAAAAAATATACTGGGTACCCAAAAAGAAACCATTGTTTTTAGTATCTTTAACTTTCAAACACTTTAATTTATCAGCAATTGTTTAAGGTAGTAATGAACCATTGTAGTATGGTGACTGTCATACGTTTTACCTTGTGTTAGTTGAAGTACTTATTTTAGTTCATGTAAGCTTGAAAACTGTTTCCTATATAGTATAAAATTATATCATCAGTCAAGTTACATTAGTTTTGCTAATTGCTTTAATTATCGTTGTTACCATTGTTGTTACTTCATATTTGAAGCATTAATTATTATTATTATTTTGAGCTTATTAAGTTTGCTTTTTGTTGACTACTTGGCTTTAAACTTTATTTATTACTTCCTACTATCTGCTTTTACATGTGTGTAACGTGACAGAAGACAGAAGTTAATTAAAGTCAAACTAGTTGTGTTTGACACACTTCACAATAGATTTCACTTGGTTATGTTTTTAATTAGAGTAATTGTACAATAAGTTTCAATATTCTTGCAACTTATTGTACAATTTTTATATCCATTATGTTTTATCTTCAGCAACATTATATGTTTGCTGCACTCTCTGTGTTGTTTTGCTATCTGACTCTATAACTAAACAATAACATGTGTCATAGTAATTTATTTCAGTTGTCAAGTTACTTATAAGTTACACAGTCAGAGCTATTTAATTGGCTTTTGTTGATCATGTAAGACGATCTTGGGTAAAGTTATACAAAGGTTTGGCATTTAATGGTGTGTAGTTCTTTAAGGGACATTAAATCTAGGGTATTTGTTGAAGTAAACCACTAGTTACTAGTGTTTATTAGTTTTGCAATAAGTAAATTATATGTATGCATTCTGTAGTGTTACTTTCATAAACAGTATTTTTTTATTTTTTATTCTTTATTATTATATTCTTATTATAAAGATTATTTTGCATTGTTATCTTAGTATATAGATTTAAGACAATCCTAAACATCTTAACCTGTTCAAACCTTGTGAGATATTATTGGGGTTATGGCCCAAAATATTGCTAACAACAAGGGTACTCAACTGATGAAAGAATGCATTACAAGTAGTATAGTTTGAAAAGTATATTTAATTAGCTGTGCTCAGTACTGGGTATGTATATATATATATTTAGTTCTGATCTATAGTAGGTAGCTTGTTTTGATTTAACTTAATATTAATATGTTTAAAAATGCAGAAGAAATGATGAAACAACATAAAGTAAATATCACTACTTATGTACCATAAAAATATTATTTCCCTACTCAGTTTATACAGTCAGCTAAAATGCAGTTTCATTTAATTCATGCATCACAGAATAAGTTATCCAAAGATATCATGATTTTGTGTATAAACATTTTAAGTCTGGAACAAGAAAATAGCCTTTACATGATTTGTTTTGATTTAACAGGATTTACTCAAAATTTCACTTGATTATGACTTTGTACAAAATAACCATAATCAATTCTTAGTTGTATAGCCTGTATTGCTTTTTGGGTGAAATTTACATATATCTTTGATTAGGGTGACCACATTTCCAAACTAAAAAACTGGGACAGTTCACCCCTTCCCCTAATTTCAAAATGGTTATTACAAGTTTGAAACAATGTACCTTTTTGTAATTTACTTTAAATTTATTGAACTGTTCCATAATATTTCCAAACAAATCAACATTGGCATTGTTTTTGAAAATAGTGCACTCAACTTTGTTATCCAACTCGCTTGCCTTTAAAAAAGGGAAGTCTGCTGTCAAAGTACCTGAAAAAACACTTTCTTTTTGTCATTTTGACACTATGATAAGTTAAGCATTTTCAATAATAAAGATATCTTAGAGAACAGTCTTTGACGTTTAACTGTCTACCACATATTCTCCAACTGCTATAGGTCTATTACAGTTCTACTAACTAAAAAACCTGCACAGACCTGGGTTTCTCATTATGCATAGAGGAAACTTTCAAGATAATTTGGTGGTAGAATAGTATATATCACAACAGTGAGCAAGTCAAATAGGCCTATTACAATCGTGAGTTGATGTGACTGTTAATTTGAAGTCTTTATCATAAAACCAGGATGTTTGTGCATCTTGAGAACTTTTCTTAGGACACTGGGACAAATTACCAAAAAAAGAACTGTTCTGGCAAGACTGGGAAGCCTGGTCACCCTATCTTTGGTACTGCTTTAACTTAAGATTATTTTAACAAACCTGTGCATAAGGTAACACTTGTTGTTGTTGTTTCTATTTTGATTCTGTTTGTATAAATCCAAAAGATTTTGTAATTTATAAGATGACCATTCAAGTAATTTTTTAATAGACTGAACCTGAAGAGTTCCCCAGTGGAACAGCAGTATGTTTACAGACTTACAATGCTAAAATCCAAGGTTCAATTTTCTGCAGTGGACACACCCAATTGGCTTTACTTTAAAACAAGCACACAAAGCACCTCAAGAAAAGATGGCACTTTTGAAGCATCAAATAAATTCATCAGAATTATAAACATTTTAAAACTTAAGCTTACCTTGTTATTCATATTCACAAAAAAATACAAACATATTATGAAAACAAACAACAAAATTCTGGCCTTGTTTTTTCTAATGTGTGTGCATGTTAAAAAAATGTTGATTCATCTATCATTTTTAACTATTTTAGATTTGTTTTAGAATTTACTACTGAGATGCCTCCAGCCTTTTAATATTAATCAAACTTATCTTACAAAATAAGTTACATAAAAATAGGAACAATATCCAGACTGATAATCAACTTTACTGAAGAGGTTTTATGCCAGCTTATCAGTTAATAATGAACTTCTGTGATTGATTCCACCAATCATTCGATGTATGGTGAAAATCTGTCATAGCTAGCTAGTTAGCTAACATGATTTTTTAAACAGTTAAAAAATATATTTTGTGTAACTTGTATATTATTATGTTTGTCTGTAGTACAAGGAAAATTTACATGGAATCCCGTATATCCAAAATACATTTCAGTAAATATTTGAGGTTGAATTTACTATTTATTGATTAATGTTAGTATAATTTTTATATAAAAATATCTTCTGAACTTTATTAGAAAAGTAGATATGTGGAGTACCACACCACATAATTCTGTACACCTAACTGAACACAGTGTGAGATGTAATACAGAAGGCTGAGTACTGAACATATAATGGATGCATATTGGTAGCAAAAAAAGTGAAACAATGCATTTTAATTTTTATAAGTATAAGAACAGTACATTTAATTAACTATACTCATTACTGGCTGGATTTGCATTTTCTATCTAAGTAGGTGGCTTGCTGTAATTAGAAGTTAATAATGTGTAATGTTTCTAAGATTATGGTGAACATTTATGCATTATGACAAATGGAGAACCTTAAGTGTTTGATCATGATTCCAATACCTTATTGACAGGTTATTCAAATTGTAATTACAGAACCTCAAAGCTGTTACACAGGATGTTGTGCAAGTAAAATGGTGTCACTCATAAATGATTTTCTGAAAATATATCTCGCCCAAGAGGAAAAGCGTATTATTGCTGTAGCATGATTTAACTTTTAAAATTTAGGCATAAGATCTTTTTTGTTAGTTAATATTTTATGGTTATTGATATTAGCATCATTGTTACATACACTTTTTATGCAAAGTAACAAAATGATAAATTAATAGCTTAGATACAGATATATTGGGGAATACCAGCAAAGGAAAGTGAAATTAAATATACTATAAGACAAACTTTGCAAGTTATGATATTAAAACAGAAAATTTTAATACTGGCTTGAAGTGGATTATATTGTTAAATCAGAAAGATTCAGCAGATTTTATGGTAAATAGATAAATAACATTTATGAATAATCTTGTTAGTACTTCTTTTTTAAAGAAAAATTGGTGAAAGCATTATTCCAGGTTTTAACTTAACACCGTTATATTATTGTTGTATTGTTTGAATTGGATGCTATCATTAGAATTATGGATAAATGTATTCAACTAAAACATAAAAATATTTTTCAAAGATGACATACTCAGATAAAATGTGATAGAAGTAATTGAAAAGAAAATGCTCTGCTGTGTAATCAGTAGACAGGTTAGTTATCTAGATGACCCAGCTCTATTTATAGTTTATCTTTTTCCTTTGATATTTACTTATGATCACAATCTTTAGGGCAGCAAAGGAGAGAGGGGGTTTATGGGTGCTCCTGGATTCCGAGGAAAGCCAGGATTCCCTGGGATGCCTGGTGTTCCTGTGAGCAAATATTAATTACATTTTCTTATCTGTCTCTAGGACATGATCAATATTCTTTATATTCCTTTCAAACTAGAAACTCTTGGAAGGAGGAAATAATTTTAGTAATCAGCAATCATAAGGAACTACTTATAATCTGCTATTCATACCTGTATAAAAATTGCATTTATAACCAAATAAGTTTTTGTACATGGAAACTTTTATCTCAAAGTTGTCTACGTCGTGAATCAATTGTTAATTATTCTGTCTTGCATAATACCTCATGTTTACACACCACATTCAACATACAAGGAAGAGTTTGTGTAATTTTTCCAAAAAATGTTTATATACATTGAGATCGTGATTTTTGTTTGTAGTACAGTCAATAAATGTATTTCTTAATCTTCTTAAAATTAACACCATTACATTTATCATATCAAACCTTAGTTATATTTAAAACCTTTTTTTTTATGAGAAACACTTTTTGTAGCATAGATACGATACAAGCAAAAAGTAGTTTAATCAAAGCACTTGTCTCACCTTCTGTTTTTTTTTTGTATTTTCATAGAGTTTGATCAAAAAAGTACATCTTTATTCTTTGCTAAAGAACCAACTCTTGCCTTGAACAAATCAAAAGCCTTTTGTTGATATGATAAATATATTTTGACCCAAACCAAATAACATTCAAGTCATTTGAATATCAGATAAAACTTACCCAGACCAGTTATGTGAGAAATTTTAAAATCTCTTTGTGGTTGTAATACTATGTTTTATCTTACATGTTGGTCTATGTTTTTTCTAACTGTATTAGTATACACAATGCAATGTAATTCAATATGGTTATGTAAAATTAAACTTCATTATTAATGTAAAATAAACTTACATTTGAAAGTAAATTGCATGTAATTGTGTAAACAAAATAATTTTTAGTTGATATAAATACTCAAAATTTGATTAACTGAAAGAAATTTGCATTGATCGATTAAATAATTGAAAAAAGATCTGCTATTAGGCATAAATCTTAATTTCATGAGATGAAACAAGTTACAAGAAAAAAAAAGAACCCCCTCGTGATTGCTGTTACTATATTTCTTGTTTATGTAAAACAAACCCACTAGTTAAAAATACAGAATTTAGTGGTCTAACATCATAGTCTAGTAATTGCTATTTCTAAGTTGAAATGCTTTAACAATACTAATATATTGGTGTTATTTTTGTTCTTTATATTCTACTAACATTTTTCGTCATCTATTTTACAAGTTTTAATCATAACCGTTAAAGCATATAGTAATATTAGCATGCTTTTTCTCACAAGTGGGCACAAAAAAAAGAGAGTTCAAATGTAACATTTAGAACTTATATGTCAGTAGTTAAGCTAAGCTGTTCAAGGGGCATGTGTTTAGTAATGAAGGATTCTGAATTTTTGTTGATACATATATAATGGTGAAAAATGATTATTAGACTTTAGCAGGTTTTAAAATAAAAATATATTTTAACATGCATCAAACACTGGAAACATGATATTAGATAAAAACATTATTGATAAGTTTATATGCATTAATAATATAAATCACTGATATGACTAATAAGAAAAAGTGCTTTCAAACTAGTACATGAAGACAAATTTTCTGCTGTATCTATGATTAATTATAGGGAGAGCCAGGGGTAAATGGTACAGATGGAGAACCAGGCTTACCAGGTCTTGTAGGGCCTCCCGTAAGTTAACTGTGGCATGGAACTTGGTTGTTTGTGTTTATTTGTATTTTTATGTTAAGTAATTAAATGTAATTTTATTACTGAATGCATACTGTTTGAAAGTTAAGGAATTTTTAAGTCATGTTTTTTGGAATTATTCTATATGGTAGAAACATCAAGACAGTATTGTATAACATATGAATGAGAATGTGCTGATGTTCCCTGTATAATTCAGTACTTTACCATAATATGTAAGCCTAGGTACTTAATGTGGTCCAATAATCAAGCTTTCATTTAGATTCCCATGTGTGTGTGTGTGTGCCTTTTTTACTGATAATAGGCTTCTTTTAGTTTTACTTTCAATAATATTAAATATATTACATTCAAAATTTAACAAGAAAACTGAGCCCTTTACAACCTGTATTGCTCTGTAATAAGTAAAAACAGAAAATATTATAAGTTTGTGTTTTATATCTCTTTTAGAACTTGCTTCAGTTTAAGTTTTTAAATTTTTATTTATGGTTGTTGATGTTATGTATTTAATGCTTGAAATAATGATTAATTAACAGTTTATTATGGGCACCATCACTTAATGTTATGCTGAAATAGAATGGAAATAATTTTATCACTATCTACACTTGTGTTCTGCTTGTAAAATACGTGTAATTATTTTACATATACAGACTATTCTGTGATTCTCATTTTTCAGTTTTTTGTATTAACCATTAATGTTTGTTTAGTGGTCAGTGTTTGAAGTAGTTTGCTGGTTAGTATTGTTCCTATTTTGTTGATACATTTGAGTGTCTCTATATGTCCATATATATGCATTTTTTAATCACTCCTACTTTCAATTTGTCAGAAATCTACCTTGCTTCAGCTGTGTTTGATATAGACTCAATATATGTGTTCTCAAATTTCTATTAAAGTGTGTTATTGAATTCCCATGCATCCCCACATTTTTCTATGTATATTTGTTTCTTTATGTGAAACTTTGCTGTTATTTAGTTGTACTGCCAGAAATATGTTTTATAGTGCTTGCTAAGTGTTTTGCAATGTATATACATAGAGGGAGAGAGAAAAATTGAAAACTCTGAGCAGGCTTAAACAGAAAGAAATTTGTGTTGACCAACATTTTTACCTAGAAATATCTGCTGAATAAAGCATGCATGTCAGAAGTATCTTGAGTTTGTTTTAAAAAAAACAAACAAGGTTGCACACTTCTTTCTGTGTGAACTTGGAATGATATTGATGACTGAAAGATGTAGGTTAGGATGTTGTCTATACTATTGTTAACAGTAATACACAGACATGACAGAATATGATTTTATCATTAGTAGTGCTTTTGGAAGAAATTCATATAAAAATGTTGTTCTTCATTACACGGGCAAAGATATTGTTATGTTGTACAATAATGCAAGTATTTGTTACTTTTGAGTAAGTTTATTATGTAACAATTAGTTTTTGATCTGCAAGAAAATAGAAAATTATTTCATATAATTTAGCATAATGATACTGACAACAATTAATATCATTCTATAGCATTGTTTTTTACAGGAGTGTAATATTAAAATAATGGTTCACTTAAATAGTAGTTTAAATCTGTATAATTTTCATGTTCTTTTTTTGTGTTTTGATCCTTAATTATCAGACTGTTTATTTGTATTTCAAAATGAATTTTCAAATTGTATATATGTAATATATATGCACACACACAGGTATGTAAAGGTTTGATGTGATTTTAGAATAGTTAAAACAAAAAAAAGTTAATACCACAAATACTTTGATTTATTGTGTTATATAAAAGATACTATAATGAAAAAAATATATTTTGGTAAATTTAATGCCATTTTTTCAAATACATTTATCTCTAAAGTGTTAAAATGTAAGTTTTCCTTAACCCCATGACAAATTTATATCATTTTTAGGAAATATGGCAAACAAATGTTAATGTTCTGGAAAATTAAGAGCATGACTGCATTGTTTGTGTTTGTTTCATAAATTTTGTGAAGTTATAATAATTGTGTAGATTTCATTGTTAAGTAAATATTTGAACTTAATAATAAAAACTCCAATGCACTGTACATAACAGGGAGAAAAAGGAGATCAAGGACTTACAACATTGCTAGATGGAAATTCTTTTTCAGGAGGTTTTATAGAAGGTCCACCTGGACCTCCTGGGCCACCAGGGCCTGCAGGATCTCCAGGGCAAAAGGTCAGTTAAGTGTTGTTTTGTAAAATTGTAGCATGTTTTAGTTTTCTTTATTTCTGAATTTATTTTTATTAGTATTCAATTTATTTTTCTTTGATTATGTTTCTTATACATGCATGAATATATAAATGTACAGGTTTAGTCGAATTTATTAGCAAAAAAAAATTATTATTTGAAATACCAATTCACACAAATGCTCTGCTTCTGAACTATCATGGTGCAATACGATATCTTAGTATCTTACCTTATACTGCCTTCTCCCCAGTGGCACAGCGGTATGTCTGTGGACTTACAATGCTAGAATCCGGTTTCAATATGTGTGGTGGGCAGAGCACAGATAGCCCATTGTGTAGCTTTGTGCATAACTTCAAACAAACAAACAAATTTATACTGCTCTCTATCGGCAAATTTTTGCTCGCCGCTAGACTTAATACTCCCATTTACCTTCACATATTTTATTGTATACTAACATACAAATGATTATGAAACAACTCTCCACCGATAGGAGTGCGACACTACCTCTATCATAACTAGCACCTTCTCTAATCTTGCAGGTGTTAACCACTTCTCAGTTGGCAGTCTTACCATTTGGAACGTGTTTTTAAACAGATTTTCTTTGTAATTTCTAAAGTTTATAGTTTCTTTTTTTTGGCCATATATTTTTTCTCTCGGGCCACAAATTTTTCGAATTTTGTACAGTTTTGAGAATTCTTTTGGAGTTAAACTTCTCTTTTTTTTTTCCTGTCAACTCCACTTGTCATATGCATGCAATTCTACGTGGCTTCTACCCCAGTCACTGTAACTACTGCAGCTGATTTGTCTGCCACTTTAAAGACTTGGGATGAAACGGCTGCATCACTGGGAGTTGTCTATATTTTTGTGGATTTCTGAGCACCTGCTAATTGTTCTCCTCTACTTTGTAATGCTTTGCCTGTACATGATGATAAGGATTTGAGCTGCTTATGACTCCCAGTTGTATGTCATTTCTGGGGAGGTGTCGAGGCCAACTTTCCCTTTAGTAGACCTATTCAATCAGGTAGGATATGTTTTATCATTACCTAATGTTTCTTTTCTTGTATTCCTGCCCTTCTCCATGACGAGCCGTGGGGTCAGTTTTAGTGTTCCCTGAACCCCTCAGGTTATTGGTGGTCTCAAAAGTAGTTTTGGGAACGAGTTAAATTCAGGGGGTATGTATACCTCGACCTCCAGGTACTTTGGACAATCTGCTCTGTTATGTCATTATTCTGACTTCCCTTCTTAGGTTTGCAGAGTATGATTTTGTACCAGGCGATTTGGGGGGAGGGCATTCATTGGGTTATGCCAACCCTGTTGATTAACTTCACTTGGCCTTCCTTTTTTCCCACACTTCCCTTGCCCCCATTTCTCCTCCTGGTTGGTTCTAGCCTCCCGAATGTTTGAAGTTTGCCATTGCTCTATTCTCAACTGAGTAGGATTGTGCACTACCCCAACAGCTAGGAACTGGTAAGTAGCAAGGAGTCCCATATTTCACAAGAAGAGGGAGGGGAAAGTGTGTTGGAGAGTCTACACATGCTAAAGGTTGAAATATGTTGCTTAATAGAATCTGCTCATTGTGATTAAATCCACTAATACTAGTCTTTTTAGTACAGTTTTTACTGCCAAAAAGTCATTTTAGCCACTGTATTCTTCACATGCAAAAGTTTAATTTTCATTTTAAATCCTGCTGCCAATTCCTGCTGTTTATTCTTCTCTTTATCCATTGAAAATATTGGAAATAATAATTCTTTAGAGGCCTTACTTATACAGTCTGATTCGTATGCTCAAAGATTCCATGATTGCATTGTCAGCCTTTAATGATCATTATATTGGGGCTGTTAATGATAAATTGTCTGCTGGTTTCCCTCATGGATTACATAATCAAGTGGATATTCAAGTTTTGGAACTTACTTTCATGATTTTGAATAAGATCGATCTTTTAGTAAGATTTATTTGTCTGTAATATCTGCAGAGCATGATTTGTCTACTAGGATCAGATGTGTTCTATTTTTAAATCTTAAATCAATTTCGGTTACACCTTAGGGTGCTAGTATCATGTTACACAATTCAGTTCTTGAATTTGTATTTCTTTGATCTTCTCTTGATATTTGGATTGTTGCCACATTCCTCTCATTTGTAATATGAGTGGCCATTTATCAGAAGTATCTTCTATTATTCATTGTTATTCTCAAGTTTTTGACTCACAGATTTGTTATGGGGGAAATCTTCCATGTGGTCTTCTACTTTGACCCATCATCAGCTTTCTGCCCTGCAAGCTATGATTTCTCATGTTTTGATACTTTTTTCTTCTATGTAATTATTAGTAATTTGGTATTCTCATTTTTCCTGATTCATTTAGTCAGAACCAGATTTCTAGTTTATAGGCCTATAGTCTTCCTTAACTGTAGGTCTTGTTGATAAATTTACAATGTGGCCATCATGTTCTTTTGACACTTAAACCCCTTGTGCTGTGTTGCAAGGTACTTGCCCTCCCCCCATACAACATTTTAACTGACCCTGAAAGATTCTTTTTTCTGCATTTTATTTCTTTGTAGAAACTTCACCTGAACTAGTTTCCCATTCAGAAGAAGGATGCTAGCAGGAGCTGATTAGGGTTTTAACATTTAAATTAACTTATTTTTGTCCTTCTTGGAGTTTACCAGCAAGTTTTGCCTTCATTGTCTAGTTCTCAGTTTATGTCCACTATTCTGCTCGTATTGTTCAACCCTTTTGAGTGGCCAAATGTAGAAGTAGCAAGGTAGGTCTTTTTGACCCACTCTTTTCTATTCCAGACAATTCCATCATCTGGTCTATTGGGGGCCACCTTGGATAATTTTTTTTTTATCTGAGGGACCACAAATTCTGCATCAGGAAGTTTCAGATCTCCTTCAGGAAGAAGCTGTCAAAATCATTTGTTACACTTCTAAAGATTTTTGCTCCAATTTTGTTGTAGTTCTGAACAAACAAGAAGTTTGGAAACTTGTCATAGACCTGTCTTAACCCAGTCTTTACCTTGAGGTACCTCATTTCAAAATGGAAAACATGAAATTGCTACAAAAGTTTCTTCATTGTGGTCATTGGTTGATGAAGGTGGATATACAGGATGCTTGTCTTTGCATCCCTATTAATTTGTTGTCATCTTCATTTTTGCTCTCAAGGGATGATTGTACTGATCTTCATTTCAGCTTGGCTCTGGTTCTATACATTTTTATCGAGTAGTCAAAGCATCTGTTGGTCTTCATTCTCTAAATGTTGACTTTCACTTTTAGATGGATTATTACTTATTTTGACCCTTTCAACCACTTAGTCTTTAAAACACACTCATTTGACCATCCAGCTTGCTATGTCTATTGGGTGGATTATCCACAACTCCAACTTCTGTTAGTAAAAATACATTATTTACAAAGCTTGGGATTTTGGATAAACATGGTTTAAAGAATACACTAGCCAGCTTTTATGGCATTGCAAACCTTAGAATCTCATTTACATACTCTCCTGTCATCCACACCTACTGGCTCGGCATGGACAGGTGGTTAGGGCACTTGACTCGCAATTTGTGGGTCGCGGCTTCGAATCCCCATCCCACCAAACATGCTCGCCCTTTCAGCCATGGGGGTGTTATAATGTGATGGTCAATCCCACAATTCGTTGGTAAAAAATAATCCACACTTACTGCCAAAGACATCCTTTATGCTTTGGGGACAATGGATTTGCTTCACAAAGTCATATTTTTGTAGTGCACTTACATGTAACAGCTCCATGCTTATAAGTGGCACCTGACTTGGCCCTTTGTCATGCAGCATAATTATTTTTTCCACCAATCTTGAGTTTCTCTAGATTTGTTTGAGTTTACAAAGCAGGATCTCCTTTTATTCCTCATCCTATAGAGCTTCATCTTATTCACTCTATCATCTCTCTTTCAAGTAATATTTTCTTTTATTGCCTATGTTTGGAAAATATTTTCTGATGTATATATGTTCCTGGTGCTTTACATAGCTTATTTTCTCAGAAGGTCTTATACCCACAATATGCATCCCTACTTGAAACTTATACAGCATGTGAGAAGGTAATCACTATGTTTCACCTGTTATGTTGTCTGTCATAACTGATTCTGATTATCATTTAGAGGTGTGCTTTTTATGTTATATCTGGGCTTTTCATTGTTATCTTGTATGTTAATTAATCTTTCTGGGGGTCTTGAAGAAGTTGTTTATATTTTACAATAAATCATGCTCTTCAGACCTTATCTCAGCAATATCTTTGACACCTCAGTTGCAGCACCCTTTAAAGGATATTCTACAGGCTGGCATGGAGATGAAACCAAATACATTCTTAAAATTTTACTTACATCACATTGCTATTTCTTCAGCTTTGGAATTCCCTTTGTCTCCAATTGTGATTGTTTGAGCAATATGGAATCCCTAGCAGGGAATTATTCTCATTTTTTCTTGCTTAGTTACCACTTTGAATTATATGGTTCCCCAGATATCGTTGTACCGCTAACACCAATTTTACAATTATAGGGTAGTTTGAGACTTTAAAACCAAGTGAAAATACACACACACACATGCACACGTCTTTTCTTACAGTATAAGACTCCATGTTTGAATGGATTTGTCTAGTTGGGGCTCTTGCATGTTACATACACATTTCCATTTGTTCTAGACAATATTCTTTTTCTGCAATGGTGCTCCCTGAGAGGGTGTTGCTCTGTGAAAGTTGATGAAGGATGCCACCTGGTGAGTAATAATGTCTTGGCAGGTACCTGTCCAACCTCTGCATGCTTGTCCATGCATAGCATATGAGACATTGGAGACAAGACAACCATTCCACACTTGATATCTCATAACTCCAATGAGGATGAGGAAAACCTTACTGCTTTATTTTTGTTTTCTCTTTACATGTTCAGTTTTCTCTTTACACTGTCTTAGAGGTGTAGAGCCATTCCTTGGGTCTTATTTCGCTTCTCTCTAGGTGGCTACTGAATAGGCTTTATTTAGGACTTTTTGGCCTTTTCTGATGTGAATGTAGGAGGCCTTAGCCCCAAAAGCATATCCAGTCATTAAATATTAGAAATATACTCATCCAAAAATCTTTCACTACATGTACAGGACAATGCATTGTGCTCTGACCCTGACTACCTGTTTGCAACCTTTTATGGAAACGCCTAAGAATTTGGTGGCTCCACATGTATACACATACTACAAACCCTCCTTTTATATATTAGTTGAAGGGTGCTTAGGCTTAGAAGAATGTCTTTATCTGAGTGCTGTCATATGGTCCATTTTCTTTCTTATGAAACTGGCCAGCTCCACTAACTTTTCAAATGAATCCAGTACATTAACTTTCACTATGGTTCTGGATTCTACTCTAGCTCTCCTTGATCAAATCTTTTTCTTGTAGTGCTCTAGGTTGTTACCTTTCTTTCTGAAGCCAAGTTTTGGTGAACCATTGTTCCCATGACTCTTTCAAGTCACCCACCCCCTTCATATTTTTTGTGGGTATTCTGCTTATTTGTATTTCAGAGGTAAATCTGCCTGTTTTGAATTTTACATTTTTAGAAATAGTTAATTTTAAACAAGTACTTATTTCTGAAATGTATTCACACCCAGACCCTATAACCAGAAAATCTGTGGTATTCCATCAAATATGAAATATGGATTATGGCAGGAAAGCAAAGCTTACATAGGCCTCCTGATGCAGATACAATATATCACATGGAAGGTTGGAGAGTAGAGAACTCTGACTAGACTGACATATACTCTGTATTGTATCATTAACATTCAGAACTTTAGTCACATGGTTGTCAACTCAACAAGGAAAGGCATTTTGTATTTCAGTGATGAGTACATGTTAGAAATTTATTTTAATTATAAAAATGTAAAAGTTAATTTTACTATACCATTTTGCTTAGATGTTAAGGAAATGTTTATTCTTTTTATGAAAAATAAAAAAACAGTGTTTGATAAAAAACAAATCCTAACAGACTTAAGTCACACAAGTTTAAATTCTTGGAATATCAGTTCAGCATCATTTTTAGATTACATAAATTGTATATTTTGAAGGGTACATAAAGAGTAGACAAAAAAAACCTTACAACTAATTAAAATACAGAGGTTTTATAAAGAATGCTCCATCTTCAACAATACTCTGTTTTCAGTGTTGTTGACATAAAGGCAGTATCTGTCATTAGAAATTGTTTAAAGTCATTAAACTATTTGGCCCGGCATGGCCAGGTGGTTAGGGCGCTCGACTCGCAGTCTGCGGGTCGCGAGTTTGAATCCCCATCACACCA